AATTTAGTTAGAGTTTAGTAGTTTATAGGCGTTTCGGCTTATATTAAACGTTGTGCTAAGGAATTCAAGGACCAATTACCAAATTTCCCTCTTCATCACTTGTTAGGCCCATTTTGAAATATGCTTTAGTTATATGGAGTCCGCACTATCAATTTCATAATGATAAATTGGAATCTGTACAAAAGCAATTCCTACTATTCGCGTTAAGAAATTTAAACTTATTATTGTTATGCGAATAGGAACCAGCCTTTTTACAAAAGTCTAAAGTGGCTCATTAATCTACCTACACTCAATAGTCGCCCATTGAAAGATGCTAAGAATTTTATTTTTAATTAAATGCAGCAAAAAACTTTGAAATGTACGACTTTTGTGTAATGATTTCAATACTCATTCCGCCAACATTGATTTCTCGGACTCACTTTTCTGTATCTGTACTGAATGCTTTAAATAATTAAGCAGATGACAAACAAATCTGTCGCTGCTTAGTGTAGAAAAATTATACTACCTTGCAGCTTTGGACACTAACTCACATTATTAGAAAGGTATTACCATGTCTTGTTTCCCTGGGAAATAGAGAATTGGCGCTGTACTATCTAAAATCGAAAATCAGACGGACTGTACTGTACTGTGTAAAGAACCAAAATAAAATACTAACTAAATAAATGTATTCGTAAATAAGCACGTCTTAATATCTCTCTTTCAATCAGGCTTCAGGAAAACCCCTGGCGACATTTGATCTAGCATGGATCATAATCTACTTATCCTGTTTTGCCAACTTGACCTTTTAAAAGCTTTTACATGGTGAATCTTGAGTTATTATGCTGTTAGTTAAAAGCGTACTATGGTTATATCTTTAGTGCTTTGAAACTTTTGCAAACCTCCCTAGTTGAGAGGTTTTAACTAGTAAAATTGGTCCGCTGCTGTTCAGCAAATTTATTAATGTCATTTTTAGTGAGTGCAAATATTTTAGCTCGCATAGTTATGCTGATGGCATGCAGTTATTTATCAAGGAAAAGTAAATATTATGTAAAATCATTCATTCTGGCTGGGCGACTGCCAGTGGTCTAGTTTTAAATAACAATACTAGTAAGTGCTGGGTGTTGAAAATCAGCGTTAGAGAACTGATAAACTTGGATTTTTCGCCCCAAATATACAATACATAGATAATTGTCCCTTAAAATTAGTCAACAAAACGTCAGCTTGCTATACAAGGTATTCTTCCAGTTATTGTATACTCTGAAGTCGTATACAGGTCTGCTCCCTAAAAAAAAAATTTAAGACGATATCTACAGTCGAAATATTTATGGGTGCTGGCTTAGAGATTAATTAAAATAAAAATGAAGCTTGTTCTCTTCACCAGGAAATATAAGGCTGGTCTGGAGAGTGCAGAGGACAAAACTCAATTTTATTCGTGGAGCATTTGCGAATAACGCCCACTGACAGGGAGGCTCGGCTTACCATCAAACGACTTCTGCTGGAGTTTCACAGAGAACGAAGAAACTGAAACTTTAACCTTTAAATGAATAAGTTAAATAGCGATTGTGAGAATATATGGATGGCTCTGTTTGGCAACTCCACACGGAATAGGGAGCGGAAGCTGATGGTGTTCTTGGCTGTATACTCAGTGACCAAACCCAAAATAACCTAGCAATTCGAATTTTCCAAAAAGATATTAATTTTTACAACTTAAACAACAAAAAAATGTATTTCAACTTAATAATAAATCCACAGAGGTGAATTGTTAACCTTTAGATTTTTATATTTTCTAAAACAATATATAGAAAATATTATTTGACTTATTTCTTATTTTTTTTTTATTTTGCTTATGAGGTGTCCTTAAACATACGATTCTGCTATTCCTCTCTCTAAACCTTGAATCTAACCAATCGGTCTATAAGACAAATGTACGTTTTATTTTTACTCTTATCAACATACTTTTAAGCATCTCTTCAATCACATTAGAAATTGTATTTGGAAGAGACAGTTTTCCGTTTCCACTATGGTCGAATAAACAACGTCCCATTTCGCCAACCCAATCATTTTTATGACGGTGTGAATACGTGTAATCTATTGCAGACTGTAACAGTAGTACAACCGTAAACGTATTTAAAAAAAGTAGCTAAACAAAATTTCGTTGAATTCATTTTATTTCATATTTTATTGAAAGAATGTACACGCACATTTACTCGTATATAAAAGTTGACTAGTTCTATAATCTTGTATATTTTGTATGTTATCTTAACCTGAACTCCAACTCACGAGACTGTGGTAAGGGTTAAAAAGGGCTATAGCTGCTGCTTTAAGTATGTACTTGTATGTATGTATTATATATAATGTTATATTTAGTAAAAATACAAATAACACCACTGTATATTGGATGAACCCTTTTTGTTAAATGGTTAGTAAAAATTTACTCTTTGTAGCGGTTTGTGCAATACTTTTTCAGCGCTACAATTTTCGCAAATAATTTACATAATTTTACATCAAACGAATTGCTAAGCCTTTTGCATGCGATCATACATATTTGCATAAATAAATTTGCCATGTTGTATGCAATGTTGCTGTTGCGCATACATTCTCGTGTATCAAATAAAACATCATACATTTTTTGTATAGTACATACATAAATTTGAACATTTTTATGTTATGGTAAACATATACATAATAATGGTGGCGGTGGAGGTGGTGGCTACCACATGCGGGTTTAAAACAAGAATGCTGAAAAGAAATCCATTACAATCGGGTATTTTATCCACAATGGGAAAACCGAATAGAAAATTTCCAAATCCTAATTAATTAGACTTATATATATTATATAATTCAGATAATAATCACAAATACGAAAATATTCACAATTTGTCATTTTTTCAATATTCTATATTAGTAGATTTGCTATTTAAATCATTGAAGTCTTTCTTAAGATAAACCAGCCTGCAAATCCAGGGCAGAATTACTCTTGCCAACAGGCGCTACCTTTTCCGCACCCGAATAAAGAAGGAGCGGTTGCGCTGGCTAGGGCATATGGTTCGAATGGATGAGAATACTCCAACATTAAAAGTTTTCCGTGCAGTACCTGCCGGTGGAAGCAAAGCAAGAGAAAGACCTCCACTCGGTTGGAAAGAACAGGCAGAGAAGGATCTGGCAATACTTGGTATCTCCAATTGGCACCAAACAGCGAAAAGAAGAAATGAATGGCGCAATTTTGTAATCACGTAGGTGGTGTCTACCCGGTTAAAGAAGAAGGATATGCCGTTTTTAAATGAAATCAGTTACTTTTCCATACTTGCAAAGCGCCCCTGTTGCCAGCGTACATATGCATATATACTATAAGTACGAGTATGTATACAAATACACGTGTCCTTTTTTTACATTCGGCGGAAGTATTTTCCGCACGAAAGCGCGCAAAACATTTGGTTAAAAAAATAAGAGTTGAAATGGTAACAAAAGTTACTGAATTCCTTAATTTTACTAAACAATTTCATAAATATACATACAGTTGCGAGCAACACTGTGATAATTCAACATAAGATGCTATAAAAATAAATTCTAATTAAAGTTGCTTGAAATTTTAAATGTTTTTTTTATATATTTATAAAAGCGTAAAGTAGTACAAACAATTAGAAAATTAAATATAAACTAATTATTTTATAGTAAGCAAAAAACTAATGAATACAGTTATGCACGCTAAGCTCAGCACACCGTAATGATAGGTTATTTTCAAAAATAAATATTTTGTACAAAAGCCTTATCTTTCTAAAAAAATAATTTTTCATTTTGGCATACTTTCAACCAATTTGTCTGTCGTGTTACGTGGAATATCTAGATACGTTTGGTTCAGGTTTTAGTTTCTAGATTGTTTATTACTTTAAATAAAAATATATACATATATAAATTTTAAAATTGGTTATTTCAAACAAATTGAATGGTTATTTACTTTTTTTTTACCATCTTATGTATTACTAAAACAAACTACGTGGGGTGCAATGGGGCAAGGTGTGGTAACCAACACGTGTGGAGCCTTGGGTCAGAGGAGGCTCTCCGATATATTCGGTTTCAGAAAGGCCACTATCCACATTAAATAATTTTTTTTTAACATATCATTGATTTGCACGACGTGAAAATTGTGCTTCGTGACTTTAACGCAAGGGTGAATAAAGAAAGCATCTTCGGATCAACTGTCGCAAAATCCAGCCTCAATGGCTAAACATAGCCAAATGGGTTGAGGCCGGTTCGTGAAATATGGTTGTTTTGTAGTACTAGATTCCATCACAACAAAATTCTATGAACCCCTTGGTTGTTGTAGACGTCCTTTGATAAGAACACGTCGATAGGCTGCAATCCCAACTGTCAGCCGAACGGTTTACTACTCGGTTTGTACACGTGCTTCTAAGGGCACTCATCAACAACACAAATGAGGTAACGACATCTAAAACTAGCTATGTTGAACGGCAAACGAAATTATTAGTTTTCGATACTGAGGCTTGTAAACTGTCACAGATCAAGGTTCTGCCAGTTGGCTATGTAAAAAAATAATCGAAGAAGGCATTTGTCTACATTAAGTGAGATTCGTATCATATTATCTCTGATATTCATCTATACCGCTGCATGCACTAATGACATTTGGTGAATAAAAGGTTTTCCAAAGCAGATAAGCTTTTACAAAACGTTTCTAATTTGGGATCCCGTAATATAAGCTGTGGGGTGTGTGGGCGATGATGTCACTCTACGCTGACCAATTTTTTAACCGGTGCCTACATTGATTACTAACTTTTTTGTATTATATTTATTTATAGAAAAGTCTGTCTTGTTTACAAAAACGAATACAATTTTTTTTACAATAATTGGTCATATTTACTCCATTCTCTTCAATAGCAATCAAATTCGTAAGTTAAAGATTTAATCTATCCTCAATCATGGACCTATTGTACTTAAGCCCAAAAACGATACTACTTTAAACTTTTCATAAGGAATAAATTATTGTATTTCTTTTCATATCTTACCTGAACTATGTCGCCATGTTGACCACCAGCTGCAGTTAAGGTCAACACACACACGTAAGGCAATCTATCCTGCTTCGGTCGATAAAGCTCTAGAGAATACGTCAAACCTATGTCCCCATAGTAGGTGCGATTACAACCTATACAGTAAATAAGAATAGAGATCATTATAGTTTTAATTAAGAGTTATTTGCAGCAATTCTTAGAAACATTGAACTTAACACAGTGTAAAATAAACATAGAAGAGACAGAAGGATAACATCATAAAATCCTTTTAGAAGAATGCGATACCTTCTGGGTCTGATGGAGGTGACAGCTATTATGAATACCACGTAGAGTTAAATGAAGGCTAACCATCTTTCAACAATCTTTATCTGGGAGAATGACCAAATGATATAAAAGCTTTTCCAACGTTAGCAGTAAAAACACAATCAAATGGTAGGAGCGGAGCTGTCAAGCAAAAGAAAGGAGAGTAGTCGATTGGATGTTCGAGACCTCTTTGATGGCTCTTTTCTAGAATTCTTTCACACCAGAGTTCATTGAGTTTCGATGGATAAGCGAATTATAATAAATTGAGTTCAATATTATCTAATTAAATTAAATGCAAACAGAGAGAGCGAGAATAGGGTGTGTATTCATGTCATAAGAAAGGAAAGTTAAAAAACAAAAAAAAATATTAAGTTTTTCAATGAGGCTTCACCCAATTCCGACAGGACCTAGAAAAAATAATTTTTGTGAACAAAAATATATACCGCGAGCAAATGGTTGAGATGTGAAGACATACAGTGAGACCAGAAAGCTTCCGGAAATTATTATTTTTTTCGATATTCGCGATTAGGTTCATCATAAATTCATTCCAACGAGACAGACGGTCAGTAAAAAATATTATTTGAGCGTTTTGAGGCGTTTGCGAGAAAACATCCGTCGCAAATGGTCGGAATTGTGGGCCAACAATTTGTTGAAATTATCATTATGATTATCCGCCATCGCAATAAACTCTAGTTGTGAACGATTATAAGACCACATACTCGTTCAATACTATCTATCATCCACCGTATTCATCGGATTCGGCCTCATGTGACTTTTTTGTTTTGAAAACTATCACCCCGTGAAACCAGTTTCGATTCGATTGAGGACGCAAAGGATATTCGCAGAGTGAACTAAGGTGGAAAAGAAACATCAACGTTTATACTGATACTAGCTGTACCCTGCAACGCTTCGCTGTAGCTTATACTCATTGAATGTATGAAAAATTGATCATGGGATAACTTTTTAAATTAACTTTATTTACTCAATACTTGGTTGAATTCATAATTTTTGGTCTAGCCATTGATACTAGTCTACTTCCTGGAGAGAGATATAGTCCGACTATTTGAAGAGGCGAGTCACCGGTCCTTCCTGTTTATCTTAGCAAAAAGCTGCCCATGTACCAAATCTCAACTAAAACCCACCAATAAATAAACTTCTTTCGAACTGGTAAATCCCTGACGAGAAGAAGAGTATTCCTATTCTAGTAGTTCGATCCATAAATAGTTTTTTTTTTATAGGTTAGTCCCTGGTCCGTTTGCCGGAAAGAAGAAGACTCTTCCTGTTGACCTAAGCAAAAAGCTACCTATGTACCGAATAACAAGTACATCGAACTAACATAAGAGGTTATAAGGAAAAACAATTTTATATATATGAGAAGATGATGAGAATGATGAGTTGGTTTATCTATGTCAGCTATGGATGGACCTGCAGCTTAGTCTAAACCGCCTCAGACCAGCTGAAAGATTTTTATGAGTGTCTTTAATTTCATGTTAAAAATATTCCGGAATGTGTTGACATTCTTTAGCAATCAGATTTATGTACATATGTAAAAAAAAATATGCCTTGAATAAGGGATTGCGAGATTTTGTGTTTTCGCTTTATGCATTTCTATAAAACTTTGTCACTTTCTATGAATTGTTATGAGGAATCACCTATCGGTGTGGTTAACTACATATAATTGGTCAAAAATATGAAGATATTACTCCTTGCCTTTCAGAGGAATATATTATATTAGAGAATAGAATGAGTATTATTTCATTCCGCTCTCATTTCTACACCTTTCACATGAGTAGAATCTCACGCAAACGCAAATGAGGAAATTTTTTGACAGAAATTCATCTGGAAGTGACCAGAAACGGTTTTTTTTACTTATAGTATAGTTTAAGCAGCTCAGGACTTTCGGTCTTAGATCAAGTATCCCCTGGGAAGCAAACAAATATGCGTTTGCCGGCGAAGTATAGTAAGAAGGCGAATCCCGTATGATTGTGCGTATTGTTTGGAACCTACCACAACAAAAAGAAAGTCCAATGAAAAATATAATTATGCCTCGGATGAGAATACCCTCAATTGATAAGACGACGTTAAAATCAGGGTGGACAAAGGAGATATCTTTGGTACGACGGTCGGAAAACTCAGCCTCCACGACGATACATCACCAAATGGGCAGAGACTGGTCGACTTCGCCGGGGCCCGTAACATGTTTGTCTATACCACTATATTGAAGCACGAAAAACTCTCAAGCAGGTCGATCATGTTGTAATATTCAGAAGGCATGAATTCAGTTGTGTGAACGTTCCGAGGCCCTATTATATGTTCGGACTACTATTTTGTCGAAGCGAAGATACGCCCGTCAACACACACATTGTTCGACATTGAAAAGCTGCTATCACAACAGACTGCCGAGCGGTTTTCTACTTGACTTGACTTCTGCTCTCTGAGAGCACGCATTAATTATCCAGTGTATGAGAATTGTGAATTGTGCGAAACGAAACCTTTGGATTTCGCAAAAGTCGCAAACACATCGGTGCGATGAGGTCTTTCATGTCGCAGTGAAGAGAAAACAGTCTGCTTATAGAGCTGCAGGAGGAAGTAAGACATATTTGCAGGGAAAAAAGAAAACAGGCCGAAATGCGTGAGTACGAGGAGCTTGAGAAGCTGGCCAACAAGGGTAATGATCGAAAACTCTACAAAAAGATACAGAGACTTACAGAAATTTTCAAGACTGGAGCAAACTCTTGTAGAACCCGGGGTGTTGACCTAGCGCCTGTATCATAGTGACAATGAAACACCTGGAGATGGTGAACCCGAAACTCTAATTTATGACGATGAAAAGTGGTTCCGTTACCTGACTATGAATAAGTTTGAATACCAATCCTCCGCTTAAAAAACAACAAAGCGGCAGGGACCGATAGATTACTGGCCGAGCTATTCAAAAGCGGCGGTGAAGAACTGATCAAGTGCATACATCAGCTTCTTTGTAAAATATGGTCGGATGAAAGCATGCCCGACGATTGGAACTTAAGTGTGCTCTGCCCAATCCCTATAAAGGGCGATCCCTCAGACTGCGCCAATTACCGTGGAGTAAGCCTTTAGACCTGGTAAGTCAATCACTGACCAGATATTTACCATGCGCCAAATATTGAAAAAGACTCGTAAAAAAAAGAAAAGCTTATACGGCTATGTACAATGACCTTGAGCAAAACTAAAAGCTCCGTCAAGATCGGGAAGGACTTCTCCGAGCCGTTCGATAACGCATTTTTTTTAACTTATTACTGGAAAATATAATAGAGAGCTGAGTAGACAAGTTACAATCTGCTATAAGAGTGCACAGCTCCAGTTCCTCTCTCGGCGAACGAAAATCAAACTCTACAAGTATACTTGTCGGCTCTATTAGTCTTCGAGAGAAAAGTTTTGCGAACGATTTCTGGTCCTTTTCGCATTGGCCACGGCGAATACCGTGATACGATGATATTGACATGGCTCAGCGAATGAAGAGACAGCGGCTACGGAAGAAGAGAAAAACCTCCACTCAGATGAAAGGACCAGGTGGAGGGTGACCTGGCTTCACTTGGTATTTCCAACTGGAGCCACACAGCGAAAAGAAGAACTCATCTTCCAAAATGTTTATTAATAAAATCATATTGAGGTGAGAATCTTATGGGGTTAAAGTTGGAGGAAATGATATTAGTTTTTAAGGGTATTCGGCGTCGACCACTGGCTCTGTGTCTTTTTCTTTTTGTGATACATGTAAAATTTATATTTTGATATCATTTAGTCTGAAGCAATTACTAAACTAGACTTGAAATTTTATTGGTCAGAAATATATATCAGGTGGCTTTTCCCTTATGTGGCTGTTCATAAAAATTCATTGCAGTTTGCCGCATCTGTGGCTGGATCTCGAGTATTTTTACGAGCCATTTGTTGTGTAAAATTGTGCAGGCAGTGAATTTGTTCCAGTTAAGCTGGCTTCTTGTTGCATAATACACTCAAAAGCTCATACAATACAATGAAGCTAGCGGAACACTATGAATACTGGAATTAGTCAAATAAGGTCTTTGTTTGTAGGAAACCTTCTGATTTGACATGCTGAATCGTAAAATTCCCCCTAAAACGAAGCAAAGAATTAACGAATGCATCTTTGTACATCTTCTTCTTTCACTGACGACCTGGACTGTTGAATGTTTGATACAATATTAATCGGCTGGTTATTTCTGACGAAGAAAGAATCGATGAAATGTAGCCTTGGGCTGTTCTCGAATACATTGACCTGCTTGTTTTGGATACCAAGATATTTGCTCACCGCATCTCGAATGTCTCTATTTGTCAAGTGAAATCCTTAATTCGCTATAATAGCAAGGGTTTCAGACTTACTTAAGTCGGTTGGATGTCCAACATGATTCCTTTTTCTTGGTATGGGAAACTTATATTAAGTAAGTAACCGTGCCTTCCAATATTCGTTTTTTTATACTGTTCTTTGTAACACAATCAAGCGTAAGCTTAGCTTGAATTTTTATTCACAAATTTTCTTTGAAGTAGCAAAGCAAATTTCAAACACAGATCCTCGCCATGCAAAATCTCATTACAAATCTTCAGAAGCAAACGAAGGCTAGCGTGTCCGCTTTATAGAAAAAATTGCAAGATGATTCGAACAACGATCAATAACTGCATTCACTAACTTTAAGATCGGTGCTGATAAGACAGTTCCGTTTGGATCCATTAACTTCCGTCCTGTAACACTTTCTTCATCCGCTGAAAATATAGAGAAGGGAGTTTCAGCTGAAAGTTCCGAAAGTATCACCACAAATTTGAGAGTTACCTACAGTAAAGAATC